CCGATTATTTTGAAGGATATAAAAAAAAAAAGTCAGGTTGAGCATCTATTCAATAGTTTTTGTAATCTTCCATGAAGCAGACATTTTATCAATTCTCATTTCTGTGTTGGTAGTTAATACTATATTTCAATCTTTATATATTTCCACAGAGGGACATTCGTGCAAAGTTATTTAAATTGCTTATTGATCTTTATTTTCATGCACATTTTTTTTACAATCTGACCTACCCATAATGAAAATAATGACTCCTTCCCATTTCTTCATGGTGTGCGTTTTCCACATTTGACTAGTATTTAACTTGCCTCAAAGTTTAATTTTATTTTTTAATATTTTATTAACTTCTTATTGAATTACCCATATTTGAAATGGAAGATAGCTTAAGTTCATATGCAAGTCAACTAACAAATTACCAGTATATGTAAATAGACGTATTTACCTTGTGAAAATTTTGTTTGTAAAGTGTCACCCCAAGTTACAGGAAAAAAATGATGTACTTACTAAATAAAAATTACAATGGGAGACAAAAGTAAGTAACATAAATAATAGCGTCCTGTTATTCCCTGGTGTAATCCCAGAGATTAACAAATACCCCTTTAAGTACTTGATATTGTAATATAGCATTCAGCTGGAGCCTGGTTTTTAAATACTATTTTTGACCTCCCAGGGTAGTTTGTTGTTCAGTAAATTCTGCATCTTAATTATGTTTTGGGTTTACACAGATGCAAATGACAGACATGGAAGCCCAAAAAAACCCTATACATAAACACATGTCATGATTGTCCAGTGGAGCCTCCTAAGTGTTTATATTTGCCTTTTCATATGATTTATCTGAAGAAGAGCATAGAGGCAGTTGCTAGGCAACATTAGAATTGGGGATGTGTCTCCATGGTGCTTCCTCATTAGTGATGGGCCCCTTAGGGAAAATGTCCTTGATTTCAAATCTAACTGATGAATTATTTTTTTTCATGAATGCCATCAAATTAATATGTGTATGAAAACATTATATAATATTTTGTAATGTCAAATATACTACTTGGAGCCAGTAAACTGAAATTTTTATATCTCATTTAATTTTAACTGCCTTTTCAACCTCTGTCTTTTTAAAAACATTTTTTTTTTCACTATTTGGTTTAACGGCATACAATCAATAATTCTTATTTTTGTAATTGCCCGTTTCCATAACTGTATTGTTACCTAAAGGGTGAGGGCTGATGTGGAGTATTTTCAGATTTGGCAGTCTGTCTCATTTGAATTGAAAATAGTGAAAAAAAAAAATGATGTTATTGTAAGCCTCGACATAGTAATATTTCTTGCATACAGTTTCTAAGCGAACACTATTGAGTATTCAATGGCTGTTATTTCACATACAGAATTACTGAAATTTCACAAAAAAAAGTTTCTTTGTGCATTTATATATTCACCATGTTAAAAACAGTTCATTGGTTTTCTATAGTAGTACATTTGTAACATTCCAGCATAAAATAAATGCAATTTTTTAGTTCATGTGTTTTTCTAATAGAGCAAATACAGTAACAATAAAAAACCTTTGAATGCCAGTCAACTTTTGTCTTTTTTCACAAAGTAATCCCTCTAAAATGTCGTACTAAAGTGTTGGGAGGGGGGGAGGCACTATAGCATTCAAATGGTAAAGCGCATCACAACCCACCCCCCTCAAATTATGAAGTGATGTACCCTGTTTTATACTATTGTTAACACTGGTCGATGAGCAAGCTTTCTGAAAAATGTCAATTTGAGTTTCAATTTTAGTTGTCATCATCACAAACTAAACTTTAGGAGATCTAATTGAGTGCAAACTACATGATAAGCCCCAAAGCGCTGAAAAGTAGTGGTAAATATAGTACAGCAATTAGACTAAAGTACCGGCTTCAATGATAATGTGTCTTATCACTGCTTGAGGCAAGATCCCTCACCCGACGTACCTAGTCAGTAGTCTAACATAATCTCTGCTTCTAACTTCTATGAATGATACCCCTTCCCATCCCCCTTTCCTCAATTTCATTTCCAGCTTTTCCATTGGTTGATTGTATCAGTTCATCGTTTTGCACAAATAACACTTTAGGGAAGGATTGTTGACCTCAGATTTTATTTCAAACTGTGTTTGCGCTTGTCAAGGATGGATGTATTTTTAACATTCAGTGTGTATAATGTAATGTACATTACTTGAGATCGGAGTGGTTGTAGTAGGCAAGCTCTCAGTCGTGTCTGAAAAAAATAAGACATTTATTACTCTCGAAATGAGCGTATGTTCCAGACCATTGCGCTTGATGATCTTTCATTTCCTGTAAGATCCAAGTGTGTAAAATATCTCATGATTATTGAACACTATGATCTTGCTGATGGAAGCGCAATCAGACATACCCCACTATTTTTAATAATTTATATTTCACTTCACAGAATGAACATCTATAATCGTATTTATGCAAATTTGACTCTCGCGAACCAT